AAAAAAAAAAAAAAAAAAAAAAAAAAAAAAAAAAAAAAAAAAAAAAAAAAAAAAAAAAAAAAAAAAAAAAAAAAAAAAAAAAAAAAAAAAAAAAAAAAAAAAAAAAAAAAAAAAAAAAAAAAAAAAAAAAAAAAAAAAAAAAAAAAAAAAAAAAAAAAAAAAAAAAAAAAAAAAAAAAAAAAAAAAAAAAGAAAAAAAAGAAAAAAAAAAAAGAAAAACCCCAACCAAACTGAAAACAATATCATCTTGGTAACAGAACTGATCAATGAATGGCTAGGATGGCAGTGACAGCATATAAAACAAACCAAACTTTAACAGCAAGTGACACCTAATTTCTGAAGATTATCACTGGCATAGGTACTCCTGGGAAACAATTTTGTTTCAGCCTGCTCAGGGCCAAAAAGGGCTAGTTGTGCTTTGACAACCTCCAAGGAGCTAAAGGAACAGATGGAAGGTATATTGAAATCTTTAATCTTAAACATGTCAGCACACCCAGGTTGAGATATTCTCTTCAGCAGACAACTGATAGATGAAATACACATTTGCTGTACTCACAAAGTCTGTCTGCTCAGGTGTTACAGAGACTTGAAAAGTGCACTAGTAATGGATGTACTTCATGACAGATACATTACTTCCAAGACAACAAGATCTAACTTATCTAATAACAAAAAATATAGGAGTATTTTTCAACATAATCTAGAAATAGCATCACATAAGATACAGAAATGCCTAGCAGAGTTTTGAACGCCAAAATCTGTTTCATCTTTGCCTGCTTGAAAGCACTGCTTGTATGCCACTGCTATGTATTCACCAGCTTAACAAAACAGCCATAGAATCACAACCTCTGAATTGATACTCCCTGTAACAGACTAACACATCAAACCCCCTCTGTGCAATACCAGAATATTCTTATGGCTCATGGTTTACAAAACACTACAGCAGAAGATCACAGCTGCCCATCAGGTAAGACTCTGAAAGCAGGAAGGAAAGGTAAACAGACAGAAGAATCAGAACTCCAACATCCCTCTCAATCACAAATTAATTAACAAATACATTCAAGTGTAGGTCATTAGCATCATTTCACACTGCAAGTATGCAACACGAAAGACATTCTTAAATTAGTACATACTTAACAGGTTCCTGGGATTTACTTCAAATTTTTTTTATGTATTCAATCTCAGTCAAAAAAAATGCTCTCTCATATAAACAAAAGACAAGCAGACAATAAGACTCCTAAGACAGTACTCTGGAGGCAGGCATTATCAAGCCAGACCTTTAATGTCCTGCAGCTTGGGAAAGAATCTCAAGCAACTGCAAGACCCAGAGATTTATAATCAGGCAAACTCCCAAATGCTTACTTTCTTATTTTTAAGTGAAGTTCATGGGTTTACAGTTTAGAACTTGACTTTCCATATTGCCACACTAAAAATTATTTTCATTTTAAGATTATTCAGTGTCTAAAATATACACAAGTGATGCTGACATGTAACATATAGTCTTCATACAGACGACAAATTTAAAACAAACTGTTGTACACACACTTGAGACATGCCTACGACTCAAAATAGCTTTGGGAATTCCAGACATTTAGGAGCTTGTCAAGACTCAGTTTGACTAAACACTCTTGGCTTGGACCATTACGGTTTCACTGAGGGGTAGGGAGAATTTGTGATTGCAGACTGCTGTTACATGGAAGCTCGCAGACACTGGATCCACAGACTCTGGAGCCACCAATTTTGCAAGTCTAAAACCATTTCAGGAGGTCACATAGGAAACACTAAAAGAGGAAATACACGTCCAACTGGTAAGAGCAATTGTGTAATTTCAAGACTACATTATAAGACCACGGTGCCGATGCTGAGCCTTCAAACTGCCCCCCAGCTCCAACTTGAAAACTACAACCAAAGGCCTTTGTATAGAAATCCTGAAGCTATGCGAAAGAAAATCAAGAGACATCCAGTGATTCACTCCAGAACATTTGTATTGAGAGCCATTATAGCAAAAGATTATCCTATAGCCATCTTAGAATCAAAAGAGAATTCAGTGAACAGATCTCAACTGAGCATGTCAACAAGTCTGGAAATGCAGGTGCTTTTTTAACCAGAGCCTAAGCCACTCTGTTGATTCCAAGATCAGTAAGAACAAAGCTGGGGAAAAAAAAGGACTCTGATTCAAAAAGGTCAACAAAGCAACTTGGGCAGAAAGGTATCGTTTGAGGGGCTGAACTGCAATGGGTAATTCGGGATGTAAAAAGGTAAACTCTCACTGAAACAACAGACTTCTTGGTACCATACTTACCTTCCATACAGGATTTCACTTTTATAGAAGTTGGAAGAGAATTTAGACCTTTGGTCTTCTCACACAAATTGAAAACCTCTCCAGAAAAAACCCTGCACTTTATTGATAGTGGAGTAAGTGTTCACATACCTAAAGGTTGATAGCCAACCCTCACTCGGCCATACCAGCTGTGCCGGAGCTTTTTCAACTCTTCTCTATCATGCAGTGGGAAAATCTGAACTAGGATACCACTGGTCAATAATCTTCTCACTAGAAGAACAAAAAAAAAACCAAAACAATGTACCTAGAACACCTTCAAAGGACAATGAAGTTGACATTAAACATACAGGTTACATTATGTACTTAGCAAGTCTAAAGTTCCTTTGAAATAGATCTAGGACTTAAATTTTAAAAAAATAAAAATTGTCTGCATGTTAGTTTAAAAATTCTTCATAATAGAGAGCAGTTATACTTACTCCTACAAAGACTGTGCTGTCCACTGGAAGAGAAACAACAACCTTTTTACATCTATTAACTATTCCATAGGTTTTCAGTATAATCAGTTGCAGCTTCAATAACAAAAAGTGTTAAGAGATCAGAACTGAAATGCCATGTATAGCTTTGTGAGGAAAGCCTTTGTTGTATTAATAATCAGAAAGATACTAACAGCATTTTTTAATTACCGGTTAACACTACTTCCTAAATTATAACACATCTTCATTGCAAAAAAACTATATATTCCACAATTGGCATTTAATTTTGTTATGAAAAGCAATACTACATGTGTGGATAAAACATTAACAGACTGCTCTGGAAGTTACAACCTTATTAAAAAAGAAAATAAATTCAAAAACAGGAGAGCAGAGGCACTGGAATCTGTGTGATAGTATTTTAACCATTTCCCATAGGCATCTGTTTGACAAATTAGAAAAATACTTTGGCTATATAAAAAAAATTACCACTGTAAACTCACATTTACATTTATTTACATTTCTTGAACTGCTAATATGTGTAGAACTCTTTTTTTGATGGCCAACACTAATGAATAAAGATACTCTTATTAAAAGGACACAAAAACATAAAGATAAATTCTCCTAAGAAACTGTAGCATCTCTGCCAATGAACTAGTTCCAGTTACCATAAAAATAGCACTAGCTCTACTTGCTTCTTTCTCCCATGAAAAGGAAAAGCAGTGGAAGCAAAAAGAAGGATCAATTAAATAAAACTTCATATTATGAAATTTGTAACTCTGGAGCACTGTTACTCATTCCAGTATTTTTATACAGAGGCAATCCAAGTATACCATTACGTAATTTTTAAAAAAGAAATATTTTCATACTAATTAAAAATAACGGATGATGTCAACATGTGTGAAAACTATCCAACTGAAAAGAACGTAAGGCCAGAGCCTCAGTCTCACAGAAAGTCTCAGAATGGAAGGCTCACTGGAAGTAATCTGGCCCAACTTCCTACTAGAAGTAAGCCCAGCTTAAATCAGGCTGCTGAGGGCCTTTTCCAGTGACGATCTAAAAGTTTCCCAGGACAGCGTTACCAGCAATCTCCTTAATTCCCTGTTCCAATGTTTGGTTACCCTATTGTGAAAAAAACTTTCTTGATACCTATTCAGAGTTTCTCTTGTTGCACTGTGCATCCATTTCCTATCACTCTGAAGCAGTGAGAAAACAAAGCTGATTAAAAACAGTGGAACTGCAGTGTCCAAATGATTTCTCTTCATCACAGGAAAATTTTTTTTTTTTCCCAATGAACACTATCTTACATCAACACAGTGAGTTACAAACAACAAACTACATTGCTTACCAATTGATTTTCCTGGGTACAGCTTGGCCTGAGGATATCCAGGGATCATTTTTTCATTTTTAGCTCTCAAATTATCAAGTTCGTGTTTGATGATGTACTGACATTCAGCCATTGTAAGGAAATTGTGATTGTCATCTAAATCAGAAAGAAGGTTGTATGAAATTGTGCAGTAACAGAACACTACCCTGGCAGCAAATAACCACAAAAAATGACCAGCATCAGGAAAAAAAATCATGTGACTATTATTGCCAATGAACAGCCATTATCAAAAACTGCACTATTTAAAAAAAATTTCTTCTTGAGAAGAAGCTTTCTCTAACTGGCACAAATCAGCCACTGCATTTTTTGACTACTCAGATAAACCAAGAGAACAAATCACTCACGAGACAGACATCTCTGAAGTATTAATTGCTGGTGCCTTGCTGAAAGACTCTTACTTAAGCATCCACTATTTATCAATCTCAGCATCTCCATACCCCTTTCTGACATACAGTTCCTGAAGTATTTTCATAACCAAAACCATTAAGATGTCAGGACAAATCTCCTTTTCAGTAAGCATTTCACACCAAATACAGAATCACAGTCTCTTGCTCTTATTGCCCATACAGCATAGCAATAAGCCATTTGAGATAATTACTTCTGATAAAAATACAGAAAAAATGTAAAACAATAAGAAAACTTTCAAATTTCATATTTTTGAAAGCCACAGTAACAAATCTATTGTCAACACCATCATCAGGAAAAAGGACTGATTTCCCTCAGATAATGAACAATTAATTTCTTCTCCTTTTAGGAATAAGAAACAATAGAAATTGCCCTAAATACACTAAGAAGAAGCTAAAATAGCAACAAATATCTAATACAAAGAATAACAACATAGTATCGATTACATTGAGCAACCAGAAATACTAGCAAGACAACACAAGCCGCAAGGGTTTTTTTGTAGGTGACATTTTTCACTTGTCTAAGCATGGTCAACTATTTTATCCTTGGATTGTATCTGGACAACAGTAAAATTATACTAATGTTTTTGTACTAATGTTTTTTGGTTTTGTTACTAATGTGTAAAAAGACAAAATACCAGGAGATACAGCAAAACCTGTATTTTAGATTTACAGCAGTTGGAGTTCCAGCTGCTCCTAGAGACTCTCTTAGCAATGACAGTCAGATACGCGTCAAGAAACGAAAATGGCACTTTTGCAACTGCCAATTGTTCCCAAGGCTTCCTAATTTCAGGAAAGCAAGGTCACAAAAGAAAAGACACTGCAATAGTTATTGCACACAGCAGCAGAACTGAACAGAACCGGCATCGAACAACAAAACTTCAACTTCATTACTGTTTCAGACAGACTCAATAACCTTGATATTGAAAATATGGTGAAAGGCATCACTCAAACAGGCACATGAAAAGCACTGGCAAGACTAAGCCAGAACTGCAGTATTTACCTGGAAAGCAAAATGAGTTCTGCCACTGTAGCACGGTTAAATACCTTACAAGAAGCACGTTTAAAAAGAAACCTTACTGTATTGGCTCCTCCTTAAAACAAAAGGGGAAAAAAACAATTTCCCTAATCATGCCCAAATACGACTAAATGGGTCTTTAGTATTAATTAATTGTTTAATTGTTTATGTGTACATGTAATAGAGAAAAATGTTTCTATTTTCTCCAGCTAATTATAAGATAATAAGCCTCAAAACTGGGTCACAGAAATTAAATTGCTATGCTAATTTATAACATTGATTGTTAATCATAAAGTCATGTTTATCAATTATTTTGTCTTATTTTCAATGAAAATCTTTCATACAAATAACAGACTATTTGAGGCATATAAAAGCATAAAGGAAAACACAAGCAAAAAATTAAAAGCCATTTGAGTAACAAAAAAAAATCATTATATGATCTAAATTTCCATAGTTAAAAATTAGTTATTTTTTTCATGGCTTGGTCTTCCTATTTCTGTTCACTGACACCCTCCCATGGAATAAAGACTGTGAAAGATTTAGCACTGTAATTCTTATAATCTTTAGTCATACTTTGCAATGACAAAGACCCCTACAACTGCTTACCTGCAAAATCTTTGAAAGTTTTTCTACTGCTGTATGTAAAAGTCCTCATTGAGTTATCACTACATTCCTTCACCAAACCCACAGCTTCAGCTCCCAGCAACAGCCTTAAGTGGGACGCTCCAACTAGATAAATATTTTCATGTCCGTTTTCCGTGACCAATGGTTTAATCAGCAGTTGAGCACCTTTAAATAGAGAAAGGTAAAATAAGTAAGAAAATACATTAAAATTACATCTAAAAGCCCTATTGTTTTAGCATCCATCACATTAGTCCTATTCAACAGGAGCACTGAAAAGGCCTCTTAAGGGCACAAAGAATTAAGGTTTCAACAGCACTTGATGTGTGGTGTTCTGAATCTTGCAGGGCCATCCGTGGATTTAGCCCTGTTTCTGGGGAAGCACTCGAAACAGTGAACTGGAACAATGGGGACAACCTGGATCTACTCCCCTAATGTTCACATCCCATAATCAAGCAGTGCTTCTGCAAGCAGTCCCACATGTTTTAAGGAAACTAGACTTTTGAAATAGAAACATCCCTGATTTATCTAACATAGCCCTGAAACCAAGTTTGTAGCCACAAATCCAACAGCCACAGGAATAACTGACCATAAGCTATAAGCATCAACAGCCATAAATAATGTCTCTCAAGAAAAGTATTTAAAAAAACAAACAAAACAAAAACCAAACAAAACCAAACAAACAAAACCCAAAGAAACTAAAAACCACAACCAAAACAAACAAAAACCAACCAACCAAAACCCAAAACAAATTTAAAAAAAAAAAACAAAGCACCAACCAACCAAACAAAAAAAACAACAAAACCATCCAAGGAATTACAAACTAATTAGCCCAATTTCAACATCAAGAAGCGTACTAAAATGAGGGATGAAATACTGCCTTTTAAAGCCCTACAAGGTACCAAGAACACAACTAAAATCTAACATGAATTTAACAAGATTAAATTGCTTTCTGCTAATTTAACTTTACAACATGGTACCAAGTCTTATGGACAGGATGTGAGATGTCTTCATTTTGGCAAGGCTTACCATGTTTCTGTGAGCAACAAGAGAAACATGTTTTAGACAATCGCTATAAAAACTGACATAAAAACTGCTTTGAAAGGTTATCAGGCTTTCACTAGAAAAAAAAGAAGGATTCTAGAGTTCAACTGGTATTTGACTTTAAGCCAGTGTTTCCATTAATAAAAGGGTTAAGGAGGGTTCAGTTATTACATTTTCATGACAGCAGCATGAAGCTCTGTTCATTCTAAATGAAGCAAATTCGAAAATGTAAAAAAGAATGAGATTGGCCAAACAATCATAAAAACCCAAATTCCTGGAAAATGAATCTTCTGTAAGTCTTCATATTCTGGTGACAGCCAATTTGTTCTCAAACTGTTACAGAAGATCATACTGTACTCACCTCCATCTGCTTTTTTGTCTACAATTCGTTTCGTGAACCATTCTATGGTTTCTTCTTTGGTGCCTTTTGCAAGTTCAATTACTACCAGAGGCCTGAAGTTAGACTCAGCAGTATCCACGAATGACCAGCTTTCCGCCATCTTCTGTGGTTTTTCCACCATCTCTCGAGACCTTGCTAAGCACAAAAACGGAATAAAATGCAAGCGTTAAAAAATATTTTGCAGCAGTCTAAAAACCACAAAACTTTACTACAGCAACTTACACATCTGTGCTGTGGACTTACTACAGTGACCAGTTTGAGAAACCTCTCCAATTCTCAAGATACTACCAGTCCTCAGCGGCTTATTTATGTCCTACTTTCTGAGTAGGAAAAGTGTTGTTGCTACATACAGCAATAGGGAGAAAATACTGTCAAAAACAACCTCGCAACTTCCTACAGTTTATCTGTCAGCAAACGAAAACATTAACAGAACCTTAGTCAAACAGATATCTAAAATTAATAAGCTTCTCATGGTAAGAGTATATAAACATATCATAAGTTTAAGGAGGAACTTTCTCAGTTAATATTTTAAAGCTTTAACCACACCAGGGAAACTTATATTACCTTGGGTAGGTGAGCAAGACACCTGTCATACAGACAGGCAAATTAAGCATAAAGCACTTAAATGACTTTTTGAAAGCTATAAACCAAGTGTTCTGTGACAAAGTCCAGCTGCAAAGCATTGAGCATCAGCACAGCTTTATGTGTAAAAAGTCCAAATTATCTAAGTGGATCTTTATAGAACTACAGATTTGTTGAGGTTGGAAAAGACCTTTGACTCCAACCATTAATGCAGCACTGCCAAGTTCACCACTAAATCGTGTCCCCAGGTGCCATATCTACACAGCTTTTAAACTGCTCCAAGGATGGTGACTCAACCACTTCCCTGGGCCTATTCCAAGGCTTGGCAACCCCTTTTTACTTGGCAGACCCACCCCTTGCAAACGACCTCCTGTCAGGTAGTTGTAGAGAGTGATAAGGTCTCCCCTGAGCCCCCTTTTCTCCAGCCACTCCACTTTAGTCTTGTTAATTTTATAGAAATGAATCTACAGAGATCATTATGTCATGCTACATAAAGCAACTTAGAGGTGTTGATATAAAACAATTACTCTGGTAACTAACCTACTAAATATATATTTTAAAAAGCCACCAAAAAACTTATTACAGACCTAATTTACTAATTTACAAGTTAGGAGAAGGTTTGGTGATTGTGGTTTGGTGGGTTTGGGTTTTTTTTCGCTATTAACTTGACTGAAGAAAGGATTTTACCCACTGTATTTAAGCAGTTTTGTCCCTCCTGTTCAAACAGTGAAATTACTTAATTTCAAAGTGAGTTGCTTTAAGGATGCAGTTCAGCTTTTATGAGTTATATTTGTGTGATTCAAAGACAAATCACAGTCTCCAGTATTTCATATAAATTATCCTACAAAATACAGTGATACTGCAAACGCATGCATATCATCATAAGTCTATTCACTTTCAAATGGCAAAAAAAAAAAAAGCTTTCAAGCAAAATTTCAATGGGGTTTTCAGTTAGTTTCACTTGCCTTTTCACATGCACACAATTCTGCAACACCCATATTTACAGCTCTGAACCCAAATACATATATCTTTAAAAGAAATACACTTCACAAATATTTAAAAATATTTTAAATGTATATCTGCACAAACAAAATGAATCAGACAAAGGAAAACATGATCAGGGATGAGGCACTGTAACTGGGATTGTCAGTGGCTGACTACACTGTTTTGACAAGTCATTCCACCTTAATGCATCCCTATCCACAATCAGCTCTTGGGTTTT